AAAAAAATGTTTATATGGTCTTTCTATATCGCAGATTTTCAGCTATCTCTGATGAGTGTGGAACGTAACTTCCACAATAAGCGGGGGGTCACTGCATTACTCCCATTTTCCACAACATATCTGTGTGAGCTGAGTTTTTCAAGCCTGACTCATATAAAAACTAAAAACAAAGAGAGACTGAGACCTGTTGAGGAAGAGCTTCATGTGTCTGTCTTCAGCTCCTGCCAGGATATCAGCTTTGTGTTCAACCAAACAGGCTCAGGTTTCATACTGAGTGAGTATAAATAAATTGAGAGACTATTTTGTCATTACTAGGCTACAGAGTGTCATTTTGTAACATTTTTGGTTGGTGGTGTACCGTAGGATTTTTTTCAATGTAAAAAATGTGCCGTGGCTCAAAAAAGGTTGAAATACAGTGGACTAAGGAACAGCTAGAACAAAATCAACAGCTTGTAATAAGGCATGACAATCTGACACATGGTTCTTGTCAACATTTAATCATATTTTTCTTTCCCTATTTTGTTTTAAACAAGATTGTAAAATTATGACTCTCCTCACTGGATGGATCAATTCACCTCCGAATCACTTAGTTAATTGTATGACGGATCAGAGAGCAAACAGCTTTCTGGTGATAGTCTTCTCACTACAGGAAGTGTGCTTCAGACCCCACAGCCTGCAACGTACGAGCTCAGGTCTTTACCCTTGCAATTATTCCTCCAGGCCACCCTGATGATTAAAATGACACAAATCAGATCCCAGGACTGCAGTAAACATGTAAAACACAAAGTTGAAAACCTGTTCCCTATATCAGCTCAAAAGCCAATATGAATGGGCAGAATCCATGTAAAAGGCCAAGTTACCCATCAGATTCAGCTAAACTTCATGCTAGCCAGAAAGGGACAGTAAACATTCTTACCAAGCTGATATGCCATTGGGGTCTCTGGCCACACGCTTGGCGCACTGGATGGCTACGTCAATGTTGTCAGATTGGAGTGCTGCAAAAAGTTATACATTTGAACACACAGTACAAGTGAAAATGTGAGCTGATGAAACCCAAAGTCTTCTCATCTCTCATCTTATGCTCATTATTGAAACCTGGCTGATTGCTTTAGATCATGAGCTTTCACTCTACCCTTATTGTATTTGATGAGGCTTCTCTACTCACCACTACAGTCGATACCACAACCATTTGATGTAGGTGTCTTATGATTATTGCACCACCAGCGGCTGTTGATCTGGAAAATGCCATAATCCGTTGATCCATCAGAGTTCCGGTTGATGGATGCGGTGTTGTAGTCTGACTCCCATTTAGCCAAACAGACCCCTGGGAAATGGCAAAACCAGACAAATTCAGAATGTGAACATAAACATACAGTAATTGGTCAACTGTACCTTTCAACAAGATTTGACATTGGCATCCCAAAAATGATGCAGTTAGCCAGCTGACATGTAAGATGTATATAGATGAATTTCTATACTTACAATCTGCCAGACTGTACCCTTTATATCCATCCATTCCTGAAGCCTTGAGCTTCCGTGCTAAATCACACTGGGTGAAAATTTTGCCATTTGCAATGGCCAAAATGCTGAAAACAAGAAAGACAGCAACTTTCATTCTGGAAGTAGTACAGATCTCTGAGCAAGTCAGTGTAAAATGGTAAAGTCCCTCAAGTGATGCCCCAATATAAAGAAGAGGGCTGTTATTTGCACAGTCAAATAATCATTTATTTTTGATACTATTCTATTTCCTCATACTCGTGTCAAGTGTGTGTTTAGGGCGTCTCCTTGAGTTTGACTAAGTACTCTAGAACCCCTTACAGGCCAAGGTAAGATGTGCAGACATTCAAATGGAAAACAAAGATGGAGCAAAGATTTGGAATGAAGTTTTTTTTCTTATGGGTAAACAAGTTTTTGCAGTTAGGAATTTTGCAGTTAAGACCTTGCTGTCACACTTGCCCCTGATTAATAAAACAGGGAATTTAGCCTAATCTGGGCTGGATTCAATTAGAGAGGTTCTTTTTATGTTCAGTATAGATTGTTTTATATGTAATGCAATTTGAATAAGTTGATTGTCTTTTGTATAGCATGGGTAGTTGGATTGGGTTTGCAGGTTTAAAGGATGATAGGGGTTTATTTCTGCTCTTTTCCAATCATTCTATACGCACCAATGCTGTTGGGTCATCCTGGCCAGAATGGTGTTACCATCTAACTCTAAACCCTGTTTCTGGCAGTGTTGGGACTGTTTGCCTCAAAGGCCAAGAGGCAGAAAACCTGATATGATGGATGGGTTGAGGTCTTCTGTCACACACCTTGTCCTGGTGATGATGATGATGATGATAATTGATTCCTATGGGGAAATTCTCTTTATCCTCCCCCGACTCGCTCTCTGCAGGTGAGAGGAGGCTTGACGGCAAAGGGCAGCCACCTATAGCAGCATCCAGGGTTATGGGCCTTGCTGAAGGACCTGCAGATGTGGCAAGGCCAGGCTTGAACTGGCGACTTTCCAATTACAGGCACAGGGGCTAAGGCTACACCCCACCCCCAAAAAAAGCACTTA